CCCAAATTGAACTAAGCACTGACCATTTTGTGACCAGCTCAAAACATATTTCAGGATAAAAATCCAATTTTTGTAAAACGCATTAGCTGCATGAAGGGAGCAAGTGATAATACCTCTATGGGAGTAAGCATCTTCTTTTCACTGATCTTGTCATATTTCTGTTTTTTCGTACCTGCTTTCAAGCCCTGCCAGGGAAGGCTGATAACAGAAAATCAAATGAATTAATAATATGAATTTTAAGCAATGTGACAAAAAAAAAAGGGGGAAAAAAGATGGAAATCCAAGCATTTAAGATTTGTATCCAACCTTCCACGCAAAAAGTACATAAGCACATAACCAAGAGACTCCAGGTCATCTCTTCTGCTTTGCTCTGCATACAAATTTAAATCACAATCAAATAAATATGAAGCTTGACAAATCAAATAGGAAATAGAAAGAGCATAATTTAATTTGTATTTGAAATCAGCAATAAGTTGGCTCACCAACTCCGAGGTGAGTATTAACACTTGCATAGCGAGCTGTCCCAGTAAGATTCTTGTTTTCTCTGAAACAAACACCATAATTTACATTAGGGGCAGCAAAAGTGTACAATTTGAGCAGTGGACTTTCCAATGTAAGGTCAAGTTTGTTGTTTGTGTGTGTGCTGGAGGTGGGTAACATTTCATCACCCAATGATTGGGTCCAAGTTCGTGGAACATGGCAAGATATATAATAATGAATCCATTTACATTTGCCGAAACACTGAAAAAAATAAGTGAAGGATCATTGACATTTCAGCAAAATGTTGCAAAACTTGTGAAAAAAATCAATAGCTAAATCAGAGCGGAATGTGAATCAAAGACTTCAGTCCACATAGTATGGTATTGTCACCTAAAAAATCAAACGTTTAGCAAATAAAGTACAACTTAACCAGGAAATTTTCATCACGTGGAATCATCAAGGAGAGAATAAAATGACACCATAGCTCCCTTCCTACTTTTGCCAGATTTGCTTTCTTTTTTTTAATAAATAAAAGTCCAGGGCTCCACAGGTACTGAGAGACAATGCAACGGACCCTTCATGCCACAAATCTAATGGCAAATCCGACTTAATACAAACATTTCCACTTTCTTTTCTTCTGACTTAAAACATATAACCAAAATGCAAAAATATGTAGCAATCCAGAACGAGGAGCTGGCCAGAAACACAACCCCAAACCCAAGAAAAAAATTATTATTATTATAAATAGAATAAAAATTTATGTAATGATAATTTTCTAAAAAGATCTTCATATAAGTAATGACCACCAATTAGCAGAAAGTAAATATCTGCAGTTTAACTTAGGGTGTGTTAAAAAAAAAGGGCTTGAGTTGGGAAGTTGCAAAACAACATAATACATTAGCAAAGTTTTACATCCGATACCTGTATGGTATGTGCTTGTGTGTCTGAAGATCCCTATACTTTTTCGCAAGACCATAGTCAATTATATATACCTGCAGCAAAGATAAAAACGTGTTAGGTTGCTACAGCAGCAATTGTATCATTAATCTTCTAATGATTATCCAAGAGTAACTCGATTTTTAGTGAATTTGGCACCAGGACAGGGCTACTATGACAATGGATGATTAAATTATTACAGGTAACAACTGTATTTCTCCCTGTTAAATCCATGACATCACAAAGCTCATGTTCTTAATTATCCTAGTTTTTCTACAGTGTAACGTTCAGCTAAGGTACTATCATTTCTTTTCTCAATGAAGATAAAAGTAAGATTAACTTTTTTGGCAGCATTTCCTTATTCTGGACAGAATAGAAAGATCCAACCTCAGTTTAGTATTCTTTTTCCAAAAGCTTTGAGTTGGCTTATTGTATTCAAGCACAATAGAAAATACATTAATAAACAAACTTTAGTATCTCTTTAAACTCTCATTTCCCAACATCATTTACTTCATGAGACAATTTAAAGATCTTCAGACAAAATGGAGGGCTTCTAACTTTATTACTACACAAGGGAAGGAGGGGGGGCAAGTTGGCAACTGAATTTCATGAAGTATGGGCGCAAGCGCAATAACCAAATAAATGGAAAGCATGCTGCAAGACAAAACAGCTTAAAAATACCATACCTGATTAGCTTTACGCCCCAGACCCATTAAAAAGTTGTCGGGCTTTATATCACGATGAAGAAAACCCCGTGAGTGCATGTACTCAACCCTGTTTATCTACATAAAATAATGGTCAGAATATGAGAATGGCAGCCAATCTTAGAGCATATGAAACCTTTTCGAGAGCAGTAGCCAACTTACTAATTGATCTGCAAGCATCAACACTGTCTTCAAAGAGAACTTCCGATTGCAATAGTTAAAAAGGTCTTCAAGGCTTGGCCCAAGAAGATCAATAACCATCACATTGTATTCACCCTCTACTCCAAACCATTTGAGATGGGGAATGCCCGCTATATATAATTAACATAGCAAATAAATACAAAATAGACTTTGTTTTCAAAGGCAAAATAATCACTTTTACGACAGAACAGAAAGATTAACTACAATTAAGAAAACCCACTTCCTCCTTGAAGAAGCATGTACAGCTTTGACTCATAGTGCAGCTGGGGATGTTTTGTCTTCACTGATTCCTGGGAACAAGAAAACGCAGAAAGAATACACAGATGAACATATGCTAAACCTTAAATAATAGCTACTGCACACAAGATGCAGTTAACTTCTCAAAATAACCAAGTAAAACATTGACATAACAATCAAAAAATAGGGCAGGCAAACTTCGTATCAACTAATGTATTCATCTCCGATCTCAGACTAACCTTACATTGAAAAATTAATTAAAAATAATATTAAGATATACAAATGAATATTATGTAGAAACTAGTGGAACAAAATACTTTTAAGCCTGATGTTAAAAAATTCAATCCTTCAACAGTATCATAAATCCCACCACAAATATGTTAAGGCACCAAATTGCATATTTGCTCGCCAAGTATTTACGTCTAAAATACATTACTCGGTAAAATTCTATCCCAATTATTTGAAACTTTAAAGCTAACCAAAAAAATTCCAATGTTAAAGAAACCCAACATACTGTATAAGATCCATACAAATACCGACCAAAACAGATGACTTACGGATTTCACGATAACTAATCCATCCATTTCACTAATACAAACAAAAACAGAGACTTTCTACATCAAGAATCAATATATAATACAATCCAACAACTAATGAGACTTCTCAGAACAAATTAGAGAACAACAACAAAAATGAGGCATCCACTTACCAGCTTGACAGCCACCTCTTCTCCACTTTGTACATTAATTCCTGCAGAACAAATCAAACCGAAACACCATAATCAAAAACCACAAAAAGAAAGCCAAAAATTCCAGAAAAAAGTGCAAAACTTCCTAGGTGCAAACCATGGAAAAACATGACTGTTAACAAACGCGAAAAATAAAGTCACATTAGTTGCATACCCAAATAAAGCTCTCCAAAAGATCCACTTCCGATCTTCCTTCCCAGCTTAAACTTGCCGCCAATAACATGATCCATGATGCCAAAATCCCCAAATCAATATATACAAAACTCACCCTAAATTCACCTTCTGAAGTTGAAACACAACCTAATCTAGTCTAAACTATTCTGTAATCGAAATTATGTTTCCTACTAATCAAAAGCTCATCGCTCATTATACTTCCTATTCTTCCGCTAAGATTCGAGTTCGCAACACAATCTCAGGATCCATCAAATTTCCACACAGACGGAATGATCTAAACCCTCTATTCTCCGAATCAAGCTAAACAAAAAAGAAATACATATATTTCCGTATATAATAAAAAAATACAGATTAATAATCGAAGCAAGAACAACGATTCTTGAGACCAAAAAAGGCACTTTCGGGAGAGATAAAAATTGCGAAGATAGGCAAACTACAGCCTATCGCCGGCGATTCCTCGGAGATCTTCGGATCTGGGTTAAGGACAGAGATTGAGGTTTCCTCGGAGAGAGAAAGGGAAGAGAGATGATAAATTTTCCCGGAAAATTTCTGAGAAATGAGAAGAGAAGGGGAAAATTGGGATGAGAGAAAAAAAATGGAGAGAGAAGGGAAGGGAGAAGGAAAATGGATGAGAAAGTGGATGATTGTGAAGAAAAGCTGGTTGATATTATTGGTTTTTTTTTTTAATTTAAAAAAATAAAATTAAAGAGGAAAAAAAAACGAAATAAAAATATAAATAAATATAGGACTTTAGGAAGTGTACAGTACAACTATCCTTCAGCTATCCGTGACTTGAGCTTTACTTTAATAGTAATTCGGCACGTGTTAGGAGTGGCACGTGGGAACTGAGAGTAGCTTTTTTGGTGTGTTAATGTGGGCGTGGGGGTAACTATTAAAAAAAAATGTGGGCGTGGGGGTTAAAATTGTAAAAAATAAAATAAAATAAAAGTGGAAAAAGAGAAAAAGGAATTGTCTTTGTGGCTAAGAAACAAAAAAATGGGATTTCTGCTTCAAGTTTTCTCTAATGGGTCTCTTTCACCGAAAAAGAAAAGGGACAAAAAGGAATTTATCTTCTTTTATCAATAATTATTTTTATTATTTTCAGGCAGAAATGGGAAAGGGAAAGAAAATCTATCTCTTTTTCCTATTTGGCCAAAGATCACTTTCTTAATGAGATGAGATGTGAAAAGAAGAGGAAAAAAATGCAATGCAAAGCATAAAATATGTGTTTCATGTAAACAACAATAGGTGTGTGGTGCAAGTTCGGGCGGCGGGCATGCCCGGTGCCCGAAAATTTTTGAGCACGGCAGGCAGGTGTCATTCGCCGCTCGTACGAGGTTATTAGTAAGGCACTGGCTCGGGCAGCCCGAAGAAATTCATTCCCCGGCTGTCCACCGCCGTGGAGAAGTCGTCCTCACCATCCGCCGGAGTTTTTTTTAAATTTTCCGGCATAACCCGAATGTGCCCGAATTTTTTTGACTGTTAACCCGAATTCTGCCCGAATTTTGAACCCAACGGATCTTTTTGCCCGAACTCGACCACCGCCCGAATTTTGCCCAAAAATTCAAATCCCAACGGCTATAATTTAGACCGTTGCCCGATTCCCGCCCGACCTGACCCGACCCGACCCGACTACCCGAAAAATTTACTAGCTGTTGGACCTGAAGTTTTGGGGGAAAAAAAAATTTTTTAAGCCAAAAATTTTCCTATAAATACCTCCCTCCCCCCAACCATTTTCCTCACCCAAAAACTCTCATTCTCTCTCAATTTCTCTTAATCTCTCTTAATCTCTCTCAAATCTCTCTTAATCTCGCTTAAATTTCTCTTAATCTCTCTCAAAGTGCTCTCAATCTCTCTTATTTTTCATAATGGCGTCTTCTAGTTATGGTGATGATATTCCCATTAATGCCCAATTCAACATCAAAGAAGGGCAATTTTCTAATATTTTTCAAACGCAGCACAAACTACGGAAAGAGTTGCTGAGGAAACTGTAAATCCGACCCCTGGTGGACATACAAGAGGTCAAGGACGTAATGGTGGTGGCACTGGTGGGCGTGGAGGAGAGGCAAGCGGTAGTGATAGTGCAAGTGTTGCAAGTTCTAAGAAGAAATGCAAGCGCACCTCAGCAGTTTGGGAGCACTTCAACACATTCGATGAGGTCGACAATAACGTAACATTAAATACATAGCTCAATGTAAATATTGTGGTGAGAAATTACAAGGTAACACTATTCACGGCACTATACACTTAAGAAGACACTCTGAAAAGTGTTTTCAAAAGCAAGGAGGCGGAGCTGATCTCTGCCAAACGCAATTATCGTTTGACTGCCAAACCGGCAGTCTAAGCACGTGGAAATACAATCCGCAAGTTGATCGTATGGAAATGATACGATTAATAGCCACATTAGATCAACCACTAAGTTTTACTGAACAAAGAAATTGGCAGCATTATATTAAAATTGTACATAATCCTAATGCACAATTTTTTTCTAGAACTACTCTTAGGAAAGATGCATTAAAATTATATAAACAATAAAAGGAAGCATTAATCAACCTTCTATACTCTACTAGTGGTTGTGTTACGTTAACGGCGGATATTTAGTCCGCCGTTGCCAACAAGGATTATTTAGCTGTAACCGGACATTATGTAAAAGGTTTTAATTTGGATAAGAGAATCTTAGGTTTTAAATGTGTCATAGGATCACATACTGCCAATTTAATATATAACACAATTTTATCTGTCATTGATGAATATAGTTTAAGAGATAGAATAATGGCCATAACATTAGATAATGCAACTGCAAATACTAAAGCAATAGAACTTTTTGAAAATGATTTAAGTTTATTCGTAATAATGATATATTTCACCAACGTTGTGCATGTCATATAATTAATTTAATAGTAAAATCCGGTTTAAAATCAATGTCATGTCATATTAAAAGAATTAGAGATAACATTGCTTGGATTCAAGGTAGTAATCAAAGAATAGAAGATTGATTTAGATTTCTACAAGCATGTAATCAAAATCCTAGAGCATTAGCCTTAGATATGCCAATAAGATGGAACTCCACTTATATAATGCTTGAACAATGCATCCCCTATAAAGATGCTATAACAAATTATGTTAGTGCAAAATTAGGACCAGGATTTATAGATGAAACTGATTGGCAAGTTGCCGAACTCCTGTATAACTTTTTAGGTAGATTTCACGAATGTACCTTAAAGCTTAGTGAAACTTATTACCTAACGTCACCATTAGCGTTAGGAGAACTTTTAAGAATGTCTATTTTATTTAGTGAATTTAGGTCACACGAGGTTTTAGGAGTTTCTATTGCCTCTATGGAAAAGAAGTTTAAGAAATATTGGTCTAAATTACCCATATTGTATGGTTTCAGTGTTATTTTCGACCCTAGATTAAAATTAGAAGGTTTAGAAAGTGAATTAGATAACTTCGGTGAATTTTTAGCTATCGACACTACTGACCAATTTTCTATTATAAAGGAAAACATATTTTCTCTCTATATCTCTTACGAAAGTAGGTTTAGAAACACACCTCGTGTTGAACAACCGCAATAACGAGACGGCAATCCGCATTCATTCTTGAATGTTTTCAGGTTGTCTAAGAAGAAGAAGAAGACGACGACTCAAGGTCAAGAAGAATCTGAGAATGGATCTTCATCAAGAGGTGGCGGTAACAGCGGCAGATTCAACGAGTTAATGGTGTACCTGAGTAAGGGCTTAGTTGTAAACAATAGTAAAATGTTTGATTTGGTTTAGTGGTGGAGGGTACGAACATTAACTTGGCCGATCCTAACACGACTGGCAATGGATATTTTTTCAATCCCGGTCTCCACTGTTACAGCCGAACAAGCATTCAGTACAACTGGCCGAATACTTGAATAACGGAGAAACACATTACAACAGGATATAGTTGAAGCTTTGGTGTGCATCAAGGATTGGAATCGCTCCGATTAACGCTTACACGATACAATCTCACCGGCAAGCCAAGAATGGATCGACGAGTTTAATATATTAACTTTTAATTTTCAAGACAATTATTCTGCTTCAAATTAAATTTTATTATTGTAATTTGTAAATATTTATTTACTTTGTAATTTCTAATTTGTATAGTGTTATTGTAATCTTGTATAGACTTTGTAAGTTCGTCAAATTTGTAATTCATCCCACAATGATTGGACTCTTTTTTCCTTATCAAGTTTTTATCCCAATTGGGTTTTTCTTGGTAAGGTTTTTCACGAGGCAACCATGAATTATAAATTTAAAAATCAATAAAGAAATAATCTTTTTTATATAGTTCGTGTGTTCATTTCAAATTTCAAATTGTAATATATATATACACACATTATACAATATAAAAATATATAATAAAAAATATTTGAAAATTTGGGCAGCCGGTCGGGCATCGGCCAGCCCGACGGGCACGGGCAGCCAACTCCTGCCCGAAACCTGTCCAAGGTGAAATTCAGGTCGGGTCGGGCAGGGCAGCCTAAATTTTTGGGCAGTTCGGGTTCGGTAATCGGCCAAAAATTCAGACTTTTCGGCGGTCGCGGGCGGCCCGTCCAAAGTTTCAGCATTGCATAGAGTACATGACATAAAAAAGGAAACCAGAAAATTGGGTTAATATTTTTTTAGGAGAAAACTAGAAACTTTAAATTAACTTGAAAAGATGATACAAAACATAAGATCCCATAGCCTTCGAGAAAACATCAACAAAAAAGAGATTTGTAGACAACCGAAAACATAATTAGCTAGAAAGTGGGCCACTCTATTCCCATTACGAAAAATATGACAAACAATATTACTTTATGCTCTAGAGACACAATTTTAAATATCTACAATGATATTTGATTCAGGACCGCGACCTAGAGGGCCCTGAATGACAAACAGTATTTGATCAAGGATCCACTTGTGAAAGCCAAGACGCTCAGCCGGCACTACACGCTCTCTTGTTGCAAAACATTCCGCTATATGAGGGGAAAAACATTCATCCATCCTATTCATGTACTCATGATACTATTATGCAAACTCCATATGAATGAGAATGATATATAAATAATAATTTAAATTTATGTCCGCGTAGAAAAAAAAATGTAGTCTAAAATTTAGTTGTTCATAGTTCAAAAGTAATAGAAGTTAGTAAATGAGTTAAGTATGAACGTAGTAATGATGACAAAAAATAAAGGTCGTCACAGTTTTGGTCATGTCACATTATTCTATGTATCAAATAATTTTATATCTAAGGCGGGATCAAATCTGCACCTGCTTCGAAATTCTTGCCCACACAAACTTCGGGTGCTAATATACCAAACAGTCAGTCTTAGATGTTACCCCAAGTCATTAGTATGTATACTAATGACTTTTGGTAATCACAATTATAACGTGTGATAATTATTAGTATGACAATGACATAAGAAAATAATTAAAACCAACATTATTTATTAAATAATTTTGAATTAGCAAAAATCAACTCACATTCCACATCAAACAATATTTCTTAAAATAAGGTAGTTAGCTACGTAATTTAAGTTAAAACATTCATCTATGTCTAAGATGAAATAGTAATGAGACTATTACTTGAAATACTAATGAACAAAAAAATTTTAAAAAAAAAAAAAAAAAAAAA